CCCAGAACACACCAAAAGGATCCAGACCGTGCCAGGACAAGAAATGCAAAACCTGCCAACACATCTCCACTACCCCCACTATTACTATACCCCACAACAGAGCCATCAGCATCCCAGGATCTTACAGCTGCACCTCCAGAAATGTAGTATACCTCATCCAATGCACCAAATGCCCTGATCGAAGATATGTAGGAGAGACCAAACAACAACTGCGCACCAGAATGAATGCACACCAGAAATCCATCAAAGACAGAAACACTCAATTACCGGTGGGGGCACATTTCTCACAGGAGGGCCACTCTCTCTCCAATCTCTCAGTCCTGATCCTCAAGGGAAACTTGCACAACACTTCCCAGAGACGAGCCTATGAGCTCCATTTCATCAACCTCCTGGACACTAGAGATCAGGGACTAAACATAGACATTGGATTTTTGATACATTACAATCTGCCTGGCAACTGACTCCCCAGCCCAGCCCAGCCCCTGGCTTGTTTACTTTTCATTCCATCCAGGAAGAGCACACACCAACTGCTGAAACTTCCTTTGCCTGACGAAGGGTTTTTGAACCCGAAAGCTTGCTTAATAACTATTCTCCAACTATTTGGGTTGGTCTAATAAAAGATATCAAATTCACCCAAGGAACCTTGTCTGCCTATGTCCTTAGACCAACATGGCTACAACCTAAACCCTTGTAGACCTTGTGCATTTGAGACTTAATGTCTGCATAAACCCATCAATGTAGAACAGTTTGGAGGATTGGGGCCTAAATGTCCCCTGTAAAAGAATCTTTTACAGTCCTGAGTATTCTTTGGTAACTTGCAACTAAAATGTAAAGTTACATAACAATACTATGTGTTTAATTCTTTCTTCCTAAAAGTGATAGTTAATATCTGTGTGGCATATTTTTCTGAAAGCTGCAGAAATGTCTTCATATAGAATAATAAATGGCTGCTCTTTTGCAATCTAATTTACAGGTAGCAGATCTGGGGTGTGCTGATTGTTCGCTACTCTGGATGCTGAAATTCTGCAAGTGTATTGAAGTGCTAGCTGGTCTAGATATCTGTGAGAACGTGATGAAGGAGAAAATGTAAGCTCCGTTTTACGTTATTTTTCTTATTCGAGATTCAGGATTTGGTTCAGCCTCATGGCATGTGACAGCAGTACTTGCCAAGAGAACCAGTACAAGGAGAAATGAACTAAGGTCCTGAATATCACTATGTGAGGACGGAGTTTACTGGGAAGGGTACAGTGATTTGGTAAAACTACTGGTATGTAGGAAAACTACATACTGATTTGGTAAAACTATTTTACACTTATATTGGCACGAAGTGCCACGGTTACATAACCAGTTTCAAAACTGACATTTGCACAAGCTATAGTTTGTTTTCTTTCCAATCAGTAGGGGCCAGACGTTGTTTTTGGTTTTGTCTCTTACTGTATGAAGGTTATGTGAAGAGCCCTCATTTTTGCCTTCTGTTCAGAAGATGTTGAATTTTGTGATCTCTTGCAGCATTAAATCCCAAGTTTATGGACTGATTGTGGGTAAAGTTCTGTCCCAAACACAAAATAATCTGTCTTGAAGTTGAGAGTGCCATTGCTTCAGTGATAAATGTAGGATATAGATTCTAATATAAACACACAAGGGAATTTAGCATCTGAGTTTATTGTGCTTCTGGAATTTAGCTGCTATCATAGCCTCTCTTCAAAACTGATAGCAGAGTAAGGTTTTTGAAACTGTGAAGGACTCCAACTCTTGCTCTTCTTCTGTTTCCTTATTTTATGGTAGATAACTTTGGACATTAGGCATTTGTCATTTTCCTAAGAAAAGAAGGAAGAATTTTGTAAATTCCAAGATGTTAAAATAGGTATCAGGTACACAGTGTTCAGTAGCATACCACATGCCTCCATTTCCAGACTACAAGGTTTTGCCTATTTCCAAGTTAAACTCCCTTTGATATAGGGAAAAAAATCAAAGGTTGGTTCACCTTTTTGCCACTCCAGTTCTCAAGGAGTGTAGATGCTTCTCACAGAAGAAAGCAAATTACTTTGAATACAGTATATGAGTTGGAAACAAAGCAAAAAACACGTGACCATGCTGGCTTTCTTGCCTACTTCTTTTTCCAACACTTGAACAGGTTTGGTATGAGCCTAGTACTCCTGTATTTTCTATTTTATTTTTGGGGTTGATAATACAATTGCCTTTTCAAGGTTTGGCTTAGGTCAGGGGCCACCAACATATAAAACCAGCCTGTGGAGCTGCAGGCAGTGAATAGCTGTACTAGGGCTGGGGAGCTGGAAGCTGAGCCTGCACCACTGCTACTTCTCTTTACTAGGCTTGTGCGAAGCGGCAAGTATTCACTTTGGATTCAGATTCGGACAATTCAGAGGGGCAGTGTTTCGATTCGGAGATTTGAATCACTGTCTCGATTCAGTTCGGCTGAATCAGAATCACATCATAGAAGCAGCTTCCAGCTCTCTGGCCCTGGTCCAGCTACTGTGTGGCTGGAAACTGCATTTGCACTTCAGCTGGAGAACAGAGGGCTGGGAGAAGAAGTGGAGGCCTAGGTGCAGTTCCTAGCTGGAGGAAAATTGGCCAGGACCAGGGAACTGTAAGCTGCTTTTCATATTGCTTCTATTTCTCCCTGTCTTCTTCTCGACATCCTACCCGCCAAAGCCAGCCCTAGCGCAGCTTCCTTCCCATTGAAAGTTGCACTTGCATTGCAGTTGAGGAATGGGGGTGCTGGGAGAAGCAGTGTGGATGCAGCTTCCATCTGCATAGCTTTTATGGTGTCAATGTTGCACAAACGGCTAGTTTCGTGCCCCCGGAGGCTTGTCCAATCCACCTCTAGGAGAGAGTCTTACACACAGGCTGGGTCCAATTTTAGATTTATTGTTTGCAAACAAGTTCGACAAGGGAGCTTAATTTACTCAAATCCGTGTCGACCCCAAACAGAGTCTGGGGTTCCTTTTTATAGCTAACATAAACAAAAGATTCTAACGTGTCGCGTAATTATTGGTAGCCCAAGTATTACGTCTTACAACATATGTCTAGCAGGTACATGTTCTATGATGGTTTACATACATGTCTCATTTACATCTTAAATCTCCTCCCTGGGGCCGTCCTTAAGTCCATTTCGGTCATTCTTTGGTCAAGGTCTGAGTTCTTTACATCAGCACCTTTCTCTGTGCCTCTTCTCTTATCTCTCGTAAGGAGTTATTTGTTGCATCTGTTCCTGGCTATGTCTGCAGAAGTCTAGTGCTACTCGTAAATCTATCATTGGCCTACATACCTTAGCAGAAGCAAGTGTGATAATATGCAGAAGCAATTATGTAGTGAAACTAAACAGTTCTCAGCTGTGAAGCCTTTGTGTAGGGAGATGAGACATTTTTTTACCACACAGCTGCTACACAAATGTTATTGCAAAATCATAATGACTAGATTATAACATATTTTTACCACATCAAACTGGGGGCGCTGCCAAGTCCCTAGAACCTGCGCTGCTGGATAGGGGCCCTGTGCTCCTCCCTTGGCTGTGGCACTTCCCTGGGGCACACCCTGCCTCTACTCCCGCCCATACTGCAGGATCAGGCCCCACACCACCTCCAGCCAGCCACTGTGTGCCCACATCGGTCCCTGGGGTCCCTCTACATGCTGATCTAGCATGCTATCCAGCCCATGGGGCTCCTCACAGGTCAAGAAATTTGTCAGTAGGGGAGCAGAATTGCTCCCACCATTCCCTTGCTGCCAAATTTTTAGACGTGCAGACCCCTGCAGGCCAGATGAGGCCTGCAGGCCAGGGATTGAGTACTTGTAACATAGGATATTGTGGTTATAGTTTCATCTTTTTAAAGTACTACAGTAATGGGCTAATAAGGAAAAATGTCTGGGAAATCTTCATAACTTCAAAAGAAAACAGGGTGAATAAGATTTGAATTTAAACCTCCACAATAAATCTTCTGGCCTGAATTTTTTTTTTTTTTTTTTTTTAATTATGAATTTACTCTTTGTTCCATGATATTTGTAAGTACAGGCAGAGACTCTGCCTGGTTGTTAATTGGATGCCTGAGCACCATTATTTGTTTCAGTGATTTTAATTAAATTACCTTTTAAAATGCTAGAGTATGTTTTAGGTATCCAGGTTGTAGCCCTATTGATCTAGAGGAAAAGGCAATCCAGACTTGTAGCAGAGATTATATCTTTTATTAGACCACCATGATTTTTGCAAAAACATTTCTTTAATTGCAAGCTGTCAGGCACAAACACCCTTCATCAGGCATTGGAGAAAAGATTGTAAAAGTTCTCGCGGGTAGAAATGAAAGTTCATATTTCATAGGATTTCACAGAGGAGTCAGTAGATGGAAAATTCCTTTGGGAAGTCAGTTCATAGCTGGTATGAAGCCTCTCACCTCCTGTGAGGATCTGTGATGATGCAAATTACCTGGAAACAAAGGCAGGAGCAGAATCTCAGGTCTCAGGTGGTCACAGTTGCTTCCTGCTTGGGAAAATATGAAGATTTCATTTTAAAAAAATTGGCTAAAATTCAGTATCTTCCATGTGTCAGGTATCCAGGTTGTAGCTGTATTGGTCTAGAGGAAAAGGCAGTCAGGACTCATAGTAGAGATGATATCTTTTATTAGACCAACAAGATTTTTGCAAAATTGTCTTTAATTGCAAGCTTTTTTCTTATTTGCAAGAGTTTTTTTACGTTTATGTGGCTCACTGCTGACACACTTAAAATATCCATATTACTGTTTTTCTGTGCAAGAGACCATATTAATACCCATTTTAAGCATGAAATTAAGAAAATAAATTGCTAATAGATGTCACTATTAAATAAAGATAAAGCAGAACTGTACTGGATAGTGATTGTCTGCTAGTGGCACTTATCCTCAGTAAAAGTTTTACTGTGGTGTTTTTGTGAAGATTCAGCCTTCTTAGGTTTTCTTAATTTCTAAAACAACTACTAACGTCTTTTGCTTGAGGGTTGAACATCCTCTACTGTTGAAATCAACCAGAGTTGAAGGTACTTTATCTCATTGGTAGTCATTATGAAGGACATGTACAGGCAAAATGGCTTTCTCCCAAAGAAGTCCTTATGTCCTTTTAATTTGTGATGCTTTGATGCTTTTCTAGGCATAGATTATCTCCACTTCCTGGTGATTATCTGCAACCAAGTGAAAGGACACTAACTGTTACCTTGTATCATGGCTCAGTTGCTCAGAAGGACCCCTGCATGCTTGGTTTTGACTTGATAACATGCATTGAATTGTGAGTACCAAGCTGATATACTCCAGTTTTAATTAATCAAGACACATTATAAAGAGAAATATTTGTAAATAGAGTAGTATTTTGTGTTTTACTCTTTCTTTTGCATGTACTTTGACATGTTGCAAGATTACTTGAGGTCATAAGAGTTTAAAATCCTTAATCTGAGTAATCTGAGTTCAATCCTTTCTGTTTTACACTTCGGCAATTCAAACAGCAGAATAGCACTGCATTACTGCACTACTGACCTGGGTTGTATTTAAATTAAGTATAGTAAGAAACATTGTTAATGGGGAGGATGTGAAATGATAAAGATTTGTGAAAGGGGAAGGAGACTCTAAAAAATACGAATCTCCACAAACAATTTATACCTACTCAGGTTGTTCTCCTGTTGTCATATATTTTGTTGAATTGACTGTAAATAAAGTTAAAAGACTCTGTAGGATTTCAAGGACTTTTGCAATCTTACCCTTTGCAGAATAGAGCACCTGGAAGCAACAGAACTGGAAAAGTTTCCAGAAGTGGTATTTGGTTTTATGGCTCCAGCCATGGTTGTTATCAGCACTCCAAACTCAGAATTTAACCCTTTACTGCCAGGGGTAACACTATTCAGGCATCCAGACCACAAATTTGAATGGGACCAAGCACAATTTCAAAGTTGGTAAGTTAGCTAACTATGAAATAATATGAAAAGCCATGGTACAGATTTAATTTTACAATGTGTTTCGTGTGGAGTGGGGAAGGGGACTGTGAAAGGGTATTATACTCAGGCCTGGTAAGCAACAAGATGTTAATGAAACCAATCTTCATTGCTGCAACATAAAGTTAAGTGTGCTCTGAAGTTTTGTGTCTTGTCATAGTTGGCTTTTTCCCATTGTCATAAGTACTTCTTGAATCTTTTCAACCCTTTTACTGAAGAAACAAAAAGTAGGGGAAACAGTTAAAGCATTTAAAATGTAAAGTTTTAACAAAGCCTTTATGTTAACAATATCCTGCACAGAAATATATCATAAACTCCCATGAGCTCTCTAGGCTCCTGTCCTTTCATTCTTGTTAATGAAAAATTCCATTAGTCTGGAATTCTTTTTGAAAGCATGGAAAGAAATGTTTCACAACATTAAAAATAATCCCAATGGGACAGCATATAGCATAATATTAAGAGTATCTCTGTTGATGTGGGACTACATTTGGTACAGCAAGATATTTTATTACCATGTTGGACTTGGTAGAGTCTGCACAAGATAAAGACCTTATCCTGCTCTGGCATTTGTTGTTGCCATAATATAAAAAAGGGACCCTGATGCAAGCAGGCAGCTGCGGAAAGAGGTTAACACAAGAGTTAAAGTAATGCTTGACTTCAACAGGTAAGCTACTGCTGTAAATAATATCATAGGATACTTTCCTGTTAAGGCAGGTTTAGCTCTGCCACAAAGACTTTAATTCTTAAGGTCTGCTGTGATCACCAAATACATGATTTCACAAAAATGGAAGAGTAGGTTCATTCCTAGAATAAAGCAGTCATGTTCAGACCTTTCCAAGTTAGCCACTTATCAAGGTAGAAATGTATTATTTGTATTGAAAATATTTGGATCCCATTTCAAGATACATTTGAAAAAAAGTTGTTGAGACTGCTCAAAGGAGACTGCTCCATTCTTACCTTCTTTTTTCCTTTCTCTTAGTCTTCATCTCTTTTTCTCATTTTATTAGCATAACCTTCCAACAGGTTATGTTGACATAATTTTGTTTGGCCTTGCTGCTCTGACAAATTGTAAAAGTGCACAGTACTGTTTGGGAGCTTGAAAGGTGTGTAATACAGGCATGTCACATCTTACGCGGGGGTTAGGTTCTGAGGTCACTGCATAAGGCAAAAATCATGTATAGGCGACTGCCTCTGCCTCCAAAACCTCCTGCTGCTGCCGTGGAGTCGTGCTTGGAGCCGTGCGGCTGGTGGCAGCAGCGCAGTGCGGGGTGGTGGTGGGGATGGCTCCGTCCTGCCGGGCTACCACCACACTGCCAAAAACTCCCACCGCCGCCGCAAACTCAAGCCCTGCCCCCCCTCCCACCCCGCATATAGTTGAATTCGCGCAAGTTAAATGCGTGTATGATGTGACTGTGCTGTATTTATAAGCAAGCAGTAAGTAACCCACCTTCTGCACTGTTATTGTCACCCTCTGTCTTTAGGAAAATCGGTAAAAAATTATCCTTTCCCTTTCACTGTGGACAGATTTGTAAAGAAAAAACCTGTTTGATGTTTCAAAGACAGTGCTAATCATTTTCCTTGAGAAAATTAGTTTTTAGTTAGGATGGTCTGGAGTCCAGTCTTTTGAAGGCAAACAAGACAAACACATAAAAAGAGGAGAGAGAAGAATGGCAAAGAAAGAAATGACACTTTCTCTCTGGTGCTGATACACTGTTGCAGTCTCATTACTTGAGGAACAATAAATAATGCCCGAGATGGTGGTGGGGGCACTTTTCTAGAATAACTTTTATTTACTTTAAATAACTATTCCAGGAATTGAAAATGGACCATCAGTCCTGGCTTTGAATTTTCTGATGCTTGTTGGCTGTACTCCAGCACCTTTATATGTCTGTATCTGTTTGTTGCTTTAGTGTAAGAAGCATAGAAGCACTCACACATTTGTGTTGTGAGTCTTGCAGCGTGTTTCAAAAGAAGTCAGTCATGAAGTCAGTGTATACATCCAGACGAGCGCACACGTGCATTTCCCTGAGGACAAATAGCAGCAGCACAGTTGCGCTGCTGCTACTTGCCCCAGGGAATGCTTGTGCACATGTGCTCTAGCGCATGGCAAGTTGCCCCAAGTGGGGTAGGGGACTTGCACCTGGGGTCCTGGGGACCTCCTGGGGCTTCAGCAGTGGCAATCCAGTAGCAGGGACCCTGGCTGGCAGCTGGAGTGTGGCTCCAGCCAGCCAGGCTCTGGTTTTGGGTGGTGCACGCTGCTGCCACGTGTGTGCCACTTTATTCTAGCACAGGTTTTTTGATGGTGGGATCTCCTACTGTTAAGCCTCCTCTCCCTCCCCCAGCCCCAGCACTGCAAATTAGCAGCACAGGGAATGCCTGCATGTGTGCAGTGCCACAGATGGCTCTGCAGCACCACATACTTTACGTGCACGCTTGTTTGGATGTGCCCAGCTTGATCTCTTGTGGTTGAGGATTCCAGCATTGGGTGTCTTGTCTCCAGTAAGTTTCTTCCTTGCTTCCTTTGGCTGTTTAACACTCACTGGTGCAGTGGAATGAATGGGTCTTTTTTCACCTTGATATGATATCTCTGCACATTGTTACAGACACAAGCTGCTAGATTTCATTCTCTTTCTAGGTATAAAGAGCCTGCAAACATCAAGATTCAAGCATATGTTCTTATGTGGCTCTTGTTATCTTTTAAATGATTTCTCAAAATCATTTATTCTGAAAGCTTGACATAAAGTGCAGAAAGCTAATGGTTTCCATACATAGTTCATTTTTAATGGTGTCTGTTCTGAGAGAGACGCATTAGCTAGGGAAGATAAGGAATATGTATGTTTTATAGGAAATACTTGCAGAAAATTAAAGCAGCTTTTGGTTTATATAAAAATGCATTGATAGAAGTTGGTTCTTATTTCTGTAGTACTAAAGAGTAAGGCCCTGATTCTGTAAATACTTACACGTGAGCTCAGCTTCAAAGAGGTTTGAAATCTCAGTGAAGTTATTATACTGGAGGTTACATACATGCCTGAGAGGTTGCAAGATTATAGTCTGGTTCCTTGCAGGAAGATTCACATTTTAGCAGAATGAAATGCTGACCAATACATTTTGATAAGATTAAATTATTTTTCTTAGGGCACTAGATGCAGCCGGTTGCTATGATTATACAGTGGAATTTACTGGCTTGGGAGCCCCACCACCTGGAGCTGAGGATGTTGGATTTTGTACCCAAATTTCTGTATTTAGGAGAAAATATCCAAATACTGGTGAACCTATTAATTTGGAGAAACCCACAGAAAACTCTTACAGAACTGTAAGTATCTCCCACTTGTTACCTGCCTTTTCACTTCACTTCGTAGAGTAATGAATAAATAAATACAGGGACACTTTTGTAAGGTAGAAGGGGTACATATACATCATAATCTAGTCTACTACTGCTACATAGACATAACTCCAGTTAATAATATATAATTTTACATTGAAAAGGAAACAAACCCATGGTTGTGTTTCTAATATCAAATACTGTGACTAACCTTGTGACATAGAGAAGTGCATTTTGCTGTCACAGTTTTAAGACTCAAACCACTTCTTTAAATACTGAATGATTTCTTGGAAATTAGTTTAATATTTTAAAGGGCTTTATAAAGACATTTTAACCCTAAAAAATAACTTTGGTATAGTTATAAGTCTAGAAAGGTAATGGAAGCGGGCAGGGCAGTATAGAAATGTGACCTTATCTGTGGTGGGACTAGTGTCATCAGAACCTCATGGCTGTCAGTGTCTCGGACGGCCAGGGCCGACTCGAGTTACGCTCGTACGTCAGGGCGGGCTGGTGAATGGAGAGGCAGACACAACTTATTGGTTGCAAAAAACTTTACTCACGCCGCTTGCAATCACGACGCAGGTGGTCCGGTCGTCGGAACAACCACACAAGTTGCTCCATCTGGCGGGGCCCAAGTCAGTTAATCCGTCCGCAATTCGAAGCCGGCAGGGAAAGGGGTACGTCGGGGTTGTGCTCGGTGACGGGAAGAAAGATCGATAGGTGATCAGTCTATCGATCGGCAGCCGCAAGTCAGATAACTTCAGAGGCACTCTGCAGCGTGCTCAAAGCTCT